GCCACTGAACTCCAGTTTGGGCAAGAGACCCTGTCTCAAAATCAAACAAAAAAAACCTATATGGTATACACTATCATCTCCAAATTACGGATGGGAAGAAATATGACCTGCAGAGGTTGAAGTGTATAAAGTCATATAGCTATTAAGTGATAGAGCTTGAACTCAAAAACAGACGACTACAAAGCCTTTGCTATCCATAAATAAAATAACCCAAAATATAACTGCCAGAAGAAACGTAAAAAGAAAAGAAAAAAACAATCTTTTTCTAACTTATCTCTTCTGTGCCATCTCCACTGCCAATACTAGGTTTCAGAATTTCTGCAAAGTTGGCCCTTGAATGGGCTGCTGAAGAATCATCTAGGAAGCCTATGTAAATGAATATTCACAGCCCAACCCTTGAGATTCTGAGTCACTGGGTATGGAGTGTTTCTGATGTGTAGTTTTCTTTAAAAACCATACTCCTAATTCTTCATTCATCCACACAACAAAGATTTGAATTCCTACTATCCACCAAGCCATGTCAAAGGTTTATCTTCTACAGAAGGAAGATCTAGTGTAGAGGCTCAGACACACTTACTTGCTACAGTATCTTGGGTAAGTAGCTTAACCTCTCTTAAGTCTAAATTTCCTAGCCTATAAAACAAAGACAATACTTTCCAGGTTATCTTTTGTGAAAGTTAAGATAATATAAAGTTGAGATAATATAAAGCATTTAGCACAGGGCCTGACATACAATTATTGATAAATGCTAGCTATTATTATTTCCTGAGAAACACAACCTAGAGAGTAATTTTTTTCTAGAGATTAAATTTAAGCAAAGTAACAAGGAAATAGTCTAGGCATTCACACATCCAGGTGGGGTGGAGCGGGGGGGCGGGGGGGAATCTAAACCAGGTAAGAATGATTACACAGAGGGGTTTCTCTAATTAGGTGAATCAAATTCATAAGGCTGAGATTTTTTTTTTTGTAAGATTTCTTTAAACAGAAATAGAGTTAACTTTACTAACAAAAATGAAGCAACACATAAAGTTCTGAAAAGGCAGTCAGGAGTCCCCAAAGTGTTAACAGAGAGAACACAGGACTTAAATACAGAAGAACTCAGGTCCAAATAGCAGATTGAACCACCTGCCAGCTAGACAGCATCAAAAAAGTAATTTAAATTCTCTAATTCTGTTTTCTCACTTATAAAATTAGGTTAAAAAACAGGTGTCACAGACAGCATGCCAGCAGGTCCTCTATCAGACCTTTCCCTTCTGTGCCTAAAATTCTGAACTGTGTTTTACAATGAGCCTGACAGTTCATTCACCGCCATATAGTATTTGCAATCCAAAGTCAATATCTCAACACGAAACTGGCAGGCAGGAAAGGAGGGTGAGTTTTTCGCTAAGTCTAAGTAAGAATCTGACTTCTCACCAGGAGCATGTCTGTTGTACTTACTTCAAACAGCATGCAAAACATGACTCATCAAGGAATAAGAATTTCAATGAGTGCTTTTTGGTTAAGATATTGTGAGTATTTCTGCCTTTGGAGATGGCTAAAGAAGTAGCATTATTCGGCCAGGTGCAGTGGCTCATGCCTGTAATCCCCGCACTCTGGGAGGATGAGGTGGGTGGATCACTTGAGGTTAGGAGTTCAAGACCAGCCTGGCCAACATGGTGAAACTCCGTCTCTACTAACAATACAAAATTCAGCCGGGCATGGTGGCAGGCGCCTGTAATCCCAGCTACTTCAGAGGCTGAGGCAGGAAAATCACTTGAACCCAGGAGGCAGAGGGAGGTTGCAGTGAGCTGAGATCATGCCATTGCACTCCAGTCTGGGAGACGAGAGCAAAACTCCATCTCAAAAAAAAAAAAAAAAAAAAAAAAGAAACAGCATTATTATTAAACAACATGCACAGAATTTATGGAAGAAACATGAACTTCCAGCATACATTTCCCTCATTTACCCAGCTTTTCCCTACTGCTCTTCAAACAAGATCATTCTTATCTGCACTAATTGCTAGAATGTGGCCACAAGATGAACAGCTCCTCTTTCACTGACTCCTACAAAATATTTATGCTTACATTATAAGATTGCTAAGAAGTTGAAGTCAATTAGCAAAATTCCTTAATCCACTCCAGATATGAATATATCCAAGACTTTGACCATAAGGCTATATTAACCTCTGCTATCATAATCAATGAAACTAATTTACCAATATTGTATTTACCACGGGGGAAAAAAAAAGACATAAAAGGGAAAAGGAAATTCACAATGCAGTTCTGTAACCAAGCTACAATTTAACAAAAGTATATAAGGAGTCCCCTCATTTGGCTTGAATGATGGAGAAACTTGAGTAAAAACATGCATTTTAAAAAATCATTTAAGGTCGGGCATGGTGGCTCAGTTCCGTAATCCCAACACTTTGGGAGGCCGAGGCGGGCGGATCACAAGGTCAGGAAATTGAGACCATCCTGGTCAACATGGTGAAATCCCACCTCTACTAAAAACACAAAAAATAACTGGGCGTGGCGGCACGCGTCTGTAGTCCCAGCTGCTCAGGAGGCTGAGGAGGCTGAGGCAGGAGAATTGCTCTAACCTGGGAGGTGGAGGTTGCAGTGAGCCAAGATCGTGCCACTGCACTCCAGCCTGGCGACAGAGCGAGACTCCATCTCAGAAAAAAAAACCGAAAAAACAAAAAACACATTTTAAAAAATGATCCCCTCCACTGCCCAGAAAAAAAAAAAAAAAGCCTTAGGATGATCGTACAAATGTTACAATGGTTTTTTTTTTTAAATGTTTGTGAATGCCTTTTAAAAAAAATGCTTTCTTCACCACTAATAGCAAGTTTGAGTTCTGTTGTTTAGTTTTTAAGCCATCAATGGGAATTTATGTGCCCAAATTGTATTTTACAATACTTTCGAATACAAACCAAAAAAGTGTTTGGATAAGGGTATCAATGTGAATGAAGTATTTCTTTTCAAATTCTTTTCAAAATAAGCATTCTCTTATGACCTGAATCTAGGTGATTCATATGTTGAGTTCTGCTGGACGATCCCGACAAGTTTTGGGATTAAGTTTCAAGTTTCCTAACTCTTAAAAGCTTTCTTATCTAAGACGATCAGGTTTTACAGATGGCCACTTTTTTCCAGCCACCTTTTCCCTAATTTATCTAACGAATGAAATGAGCAACCGGATTCAGGTTACAACTTTTTACTTAAACTAAGTGGGTAATTGTAATTTAGAGACCTAAGAACTGAATGCATTCTCTAAAGCATAAAGAAATAGACAAATTATAGGTGCACAATTTGCATTCAGGGCCCACAGAATTTTGAAATGTAAAAGCTCCCTGTTAAGGCCATATTTAGAGATGCTTATCTCAGGGTCCTCGACCTCAAGGACTTATCCTCCATGTGCTAATAAAACTGAAGGTGTAACTTCCCAGGAGGCACCACTGGCAACTTGCAAGACCAAAAAGCCTTTTGAGGACCAAAATAACTGAAACTCTAAAGGGGGAATTTCAGATTGTGACAAATGGTAAAGAGAGGGAGGTGGCAAGGGGACTCCTAATCAGTTCCACTCAAATCATCAATGTGCAGTTAACAACCTCTCCTTATCAGAGAAACCAGTGTAATAACTTAAAAATATACTACTGTAATAATTGTAATTTTAAAACAGAAATACTCTAGGTTAAATTGAACCCCTCTCCCCGATCCTACTGGTCATTCAGCATGTTTTAAATTCAAGGTTGCCCTTTAGGAAAGGAGGTCACTTAAGGACAGTTGACCTCAGTGAGACATCTTGTATACTAATTCGAAACTATTTCAAAGAGGGAAAAATGGAGATTAGAAAACTAACATACTACTTGAGATGTTACCATATTATTTCTTAGGGCCACCGTTATTTACACTATTTTTTTGACAACTCAGTAATTTCTAAAGCATTAATTATGTAGCAATATTCGTCACTTTAACAAAACACATTTAAAAAGTTCTATCCTACTGACTCAGGCCAAATCTTAATTTTAAAACTGAACTTAGACATAAAACTACTCACCAATTAGACTAAGAAGGGGGAAATAAAAAAAAACTATTGGTTCCGAGAAATGAGAACCAATTAAGAAAAAACTTTATAATAAAGTGTTCATCAAAAACTTTATAATAAAGTGTTCATCAATAAAATACATGTAAGTTCCAAGGCTAATCTAGGCTAGTGCTTTCCTAGGGAGAATATTAAGAAGGTGGTTGTTTCTCTCTATCTAACTGGGATTTTAGAAACTGCCACACTAGCTAGTTATGAGAATGAAGATTAAAGAAATTTCACATAAAGAGTGAAGGACACACAATCTTTTAAGTAACAATAATGAAACTAATAATTGTAATTAATAATAAAAAAAACAAGCCTTTCACTGCCTTCCCCCTCAAAAAAAAAAAAAAAAAATTGGGAGTGTTTTGGGAATTGGAGAGATGTAATCAGAACAGAAAAAAAAAACCCTTTCCTATAAGTTATCGTGAAGCAGTGATTCTACATTAAAATAAGAGTAGTCTATTCTCTATGTAGTTATGAGTGTGGTACAACTCTCTAAAATGTCTATTAATACAAAATGAAAGATCACTTTTAAGCCATTCTACATTTTAGCAAACTTCCCTACAGATCTAGGAGTAACTACTTGCAACTTAAACACATTCCTATATACCTCTATACCCTTCTGCTTCCTTCAAGATACCTTTACAGAATGAACGAATACAACTTAAATTAGTTTATTTCCCAGGGTGCTTCCTTTCTCCCCTCTCCATGAAACATAAGCACATTTTTAAAGTCATATAAATGGATACCAAGCACCTGTAATTCAGTCTCTTTAAAATCTGCTTAATTTTAAAAGTTCTAATAAGATGTGTTCAGGTTGGAAACTAAAAACTACCTTATAAGGGTATAAAAGACTGAAAGCAGGAAGCGGCTTTGACAAAACTAAGGAAGTTACAGCGCGCTTGCTCACTGGGGGACTTTTTTGAGGCTACAGAAGTAACACATGACATCTTTCTCCCTCGAATTAAAATGTGACTCGGTTCACCGGTTGAAACGCAGAGGGAGATGGCAATGACCGGGAGTCGAAAGGAGAAGGTGGGTGGTCAAATGAAAACCCCACTGTAGGTTCCCATTTTCAGAGTCCGATTCTTCCCTTTCCCCACCCACACCCTGGGCAGAATGTTGTCACAGCGATCTTGCAAAACCTACCAGGAGCGCTTCTCTTTTCTAGCTCCTCTACCAGGCCAGTCCCCGAGCTCGGCCCCTGGGTCCCCAAACCGACAGGCAAAAAGGGACACGGAGGGAAAGCAAAGCCGGATGGGTCGGGCCCGGGGACCACCCCTAAGACAACCGTCCCTAGCACTCTCTGGGCGGCACTGCCCACCGCAGTGGGGGAAGGGCCGGGAGGGGTCGCGCGGAGGAAGCTGCTGGGAGGGTTGCGGGTAGAATCTGGGGCCCGCGCCCCCGCCCCAGTCCTAGGAGGGAGAAACGAGGGGACCGGCGAGGCCCTGGCTCCGGGCCCCACCCCTCGCTGGCCGGCGACTCTAGGACTGACAGCCGGCGGCAGCACCCCGCCGCACCATTCATTTCCCGGCCTCCTCCCTCCCCCGCCATTTTCCTTCCTCCGCCTCAGTTTCCCCACCCCCGCCCGTAAGCCCCCTTACCCCGTGCCACAGTCCACCACACAGGCCGGCAGCCGTCCCGCCATCTTCCTCCTCGCCTGCTGCTGCTGCTGCCGCCGTCTGCTCCGTGCTGCTAGGGGCCAGAGATTGGCGGCGGGAGACAGGCGCTATCTGACCATCCACAGCCGGGCCGCCTTCACCGTCCGGGGGGTAGCCGGGAAGCCGAAGCAGTAGCAAGAAAGCAGCAGGCTCGATCAGCGGCTATCACTTCCGCAACCCAAGCAGGCAGGCAGTCCCCGCCCTGCCCCGCCGCGGCCTCCTCCCCCTCTCTCTTCCCTCCTCCCCACTCCTGCCCCCACCCTACAACTTCTTCCCCTCACGCCGCCTTTCCCCGGGAAGCCAAGATGGCCGCCGGTGCCGACGCCCCGGCCAGGCCAGGCCCAGGCCCGGAGCACTCCCCCTTCCGCTCCGAGCGGGAGGGGCTAGCGAGCATGCGCAATAAGGTGCGTTCGCCTGCGGGGGCTCCGATCCTGAAGTTAGTGAAATCCACTGCGGGCTTTCCAGGAGGGTAGAGACGGAGAAGTCTAGCCGAGCTTCTAGTTCTGCTTCTGAAGCTGGAAGGGGCTTTTCGGTGGTAGCCCTTGGGTTAGTTTCAGTTACTTCTCTGCTAGGTTGAGGAAAGAGTGGAAGCGCCTCCTGCAGCCACGAATATCCTCCAGTGCCTGGGAGAAAACGGCCTAATCGAAAACGTCCGCGGCATGCATCCATTCTTAAAACTTGAGTGGCTGCTTTTCTGGGTGGAAAAGAGCGATATCACACAGGGTGAGCAGTCGGGGAACGGATGAACAAAGGCTTGCACCGTGGCCCTGATGCCTTTGTTCCGAGTTTTATTCAGTTGTACTTGTGCGTTGTTACAGGACTTCAGAATGTAGCCCTGCCACCCAACCCCCACCTCCCAAGGCCTGAGCTCCTGAGGAAGGCAAACCGCCCAGGAATATATTCTGCAAAACTACAAACAGCCTTTATTCAAGGCTTTTGGACTATGACAAAGATTACCCTCAGGAGTAGTAAGATTCTACTAGCAGGGTAATAGAAAGGATTAAGCCCCCCCCAAAAAAAATTTTTTTTAAGTTAAAGACGGAGGCGGGCCGCAGTGGGTCAGGCCTGTAATTTCAATGCTTTGGAAGGCCGAGGTGGGAGGAGAGGATAGCTTGAGGCTAGGAGTTCGAGATCAGTCTGGGCACATAGGGAGACCCCCCCCCCACCATCCCTCCAAAAAAAGAAAAGAAAACTGGAAAGCCTTAAAGAAACCTTTCAAACTTTAGTGTGTGTCAGAATCACCCGAAAGGTTTGTTAAAACAGATTGCTGGGCCACACCCCCAGAATTCTCTGACTGGGCTGTCTGAAATAATGCCTGAAAATCTGCGTATCTAATCAGTTCCTAGTTCCACTTTAGGACCCTAGAAGGTTAATAGCTTTCCTCTCTACCAGGCTCATCTTACAATAAACCATTCTGAGTTTGCTAATGTGAAGCTAAAATAAAAATATTCTTTAAAAGGAAGGATGTCTTATTCAGTCCGTGAGATCATCTAACGTGGTATTAAGCTGGCCTGGGGGATGGAATCGGGTGTTTCATTTATTCACTTGACAGGTAAGTATTGCTTACCTACTCTGTTATGGCAGGGACTGTGCTGACTCTGAGTGTTCGGTGGGACAAAATAGTTAAGGTCTCTTGTAGAGTTTGCAGATTAGCGGAAAACAGACAAATTGTGTTAAGAGCAGTAGAAAGGAGAGCTGAGGACTCTGAGAAATGAGGGCAAGGAATGGGAGGAAGGTGGAAGGCAGGGAAGGAGTCTGACCAGCTGGTATTTAAAAGCTGAGATGGGAGGAAGAGTCTCCCAGGAGAGTGAACAGCAAGTATCAAGGACCTGAGGCAGGAACAAGCTTGGCATCTTCTACAAGTTGAAAGAAGATCCATATGGTCAAAACGAAAGAGTCAGAGAAGATGCAATGGGAGAGGAAGCCTGAGAGATAAGGAAGAGTCAAACAGTGCAAGAATTTGTAGACTGCTCTAAGCATTTTAAAGTTTATCTTGAAAGCAGCTTGATAAAGTAGATTTATGGTAATGGTTTACAAATAAAAATTAAGCAACTTGACAGGATTTAGGCAAGAAAAAGTTGTGGCTGCTTTGTAGAGAATGGCTCCAGCAGAGTCCAGATTAAATCATACATTGTATGATACGCTGTGTTCCAGAGTTCAGGGATAGAAGTATGTGAGGGTCAGCATCCAGATGGAATCAGGTATGTGCAGAGGAGACTCACTAAAGGGCATCATCATTAATTAGTGTCCAGCATGTCTACAGCTATTCACAAGAGAAGGCTTTTCTTAGAGGTTGTTTTCAAAGAAGTCAAACAACTGGTTTTCCCAGATTTGTTGTCGTTGGCTTCTCCACTACCTTTTAGAAGGTGCTAGATGGGGATTCTTTGCTCCCACTTCTACTATCTGGTAATTAAAGTCCTTTGAGGAAGCATATGCTTGAAGATTGGCTCTGACAGAAAGACAGATGTGGCTTAGTAAGGGTAGAATAAATGATTGTTTCCAGCAGTTACAAGTAGTAAGTCAGGAGTGAAGAGATCCTACTAAAGAAGCTCCAAGAGCAGAGGTTAATACCCTCGGTCACTTGGGCAGCCCATGCCAGTAACCCTCAAGATGGCTGCCCACACTCTGGCCTTGCACCGTTGTCATGGAATTCGTTAACTCAAGCAGGGTTGGAAACTAGTGCTTCGAGGTCTAGGCAGGTACTGTTATGAGTGAAGGGGGCCATAAGGAGGGATGGCAATGTGAAGAGCCCACAACCCAACAGAAGGCAGCAGACAACTGTTGCCATGTGGAAATACAGCCCTGGTATTGCCAGAGCCTTTTTTTTTCCCAAGAGAAGTCTGAAATCTGCATTTTTATCTTTGGTTACTGTAATGGTTTGAATGTGTTCCCCCAAAGTTCATGTGTAAGAGATACAATTTCCAATGCAACCGTGCTGAGAGGTGGGAGCATTAAGAAGTGATTAGGCCAGGAGGACACTGTCTTCATAAATGGATCACAGGACTGGGTGCCTGATAAAAAGGAGTTTGCCCCCCTTCCCTCTCTCTTGCCCATGTGATGCCTTCCATGGTGTTTTGACACAGCAGGGATGCCTTCACCAGATGATGGCCCTTTGATCTTGGACTTCCCAGCCTCTACAACTATGAAAAATAATTTCTGTTCTTTATAAATTACCCAGTCTCTGATATTCTGTAAGCAGCACAAACTAGACTAAGACAGTAACTAGTTTTTTTCTGCATGTCATATCTGACCTGTGGCCTGCCAGTTTGCATCTTTTGATTTCAGAAGCTACATGTGGTTCAGAAGTTTGTTGCCTTCAAATATGAAGCTCATGTCAGTGCTAAGTACTATCTGTCATTTCATAGGCATGAGGAGACTGTCACAGTCTCACATAGTCAAGACTGTCCTGTGTTTGTAAAGGCAGTAACTGTTAGAAGCATTTGGAAGCTTTCAATGCTTGTTGAAAACGTCATTGGTGCTTATTCCTCATAATCTTGTCTACCCACTTTGCTTGCTTAAGATCCCTTCTACTTCCTGTTTGCTGCATGCCAACTTGGCCAGCCTCTCTGCTCCTGTGGTGGCCCAGCCTTCCTCAGCTGCACATAGCCTTCAGATACACATCCGGCCAAAGCATTTCTGACCACCCCGTTTGCATATGCACCCCCTCCCTGCTTACTCATCTCCAAACACAGAAGCAAAGGATGTCAGACACATTTCATCCTTCATTTCATATTTCTCCCTGATAGCACCTCAGTTTCCTTTCAGTTCAGGTCAACCTGGTGCTTGGTTCTTACCCATTTCCAAACCTGTTCCCAACCTTTCAAGCATTTGTGAGTCTTGCAGTATCTTTCTCCTGTGGCTCAAGTAAGCCATAGCAAGTTCCCGTTACTTGCATCAAATTTGAGAAGCCTAAGTGGTACAGAAGCTCGTAGAGTTTAAGTGATTTTTCCCAATATCTTTTTTTTTTTTTTCTTGAGATGGAGTCTTGCTCTGTTGCCCGGGCTAGAGTGCAGTGGTGCGATCTTGGCTCACTGCAAGCTCCACCTCCTGGGTTCATGCGATTCTCCTGCCTCAGCCTCCTGAGTAGCTGGGACTACAGGCGCCTGCCACCACGCCCGGCTTTTGTGTGTGTGTGTGTGTCTGTATATTTTTAGTAGAGACGGGGTTTCACCTTGTTAGCCAGGATGGTCTTGATTTCCTGACCCTGTGATCTGCCCGTCTCGGCCTCCCAAAGTGCTGGGATTACAGGCGTGAGCCACCACTTCCGGACTCCAAAATCTTAAAGAAACTAAGGAACAGAGTCTAAACCAAAATCTAGTTCTTACGCCTTTTAGGGGCTCTTTAATTGTAACGACAAATTAGCAAATTGTCTTTGGATCTTAAAAAGTGTCCAGGAAATTCATACCACTCAATTTCCATTATTTTAAGATGAAGAATAGTATTTTAAAAATCAACTTAGGTGCGTACTACAGGGATGACTTTGCAAATTGGCAGATGAACCAGATTCACAGAGAGCATCAATTCAGAGCAGATAAGTGGTTGAGGTACCCCATGCAGCCTAGTGGTCAGAGGGGAGGGACTGATCTTAGCAACTAACTTACTGTGTAGGGAGAGCACCGATTTTATAATCAAAACACTTGAATTGAGTATGAACTCTTTGACTTACTCTGTTTCTTCATCTATAAAATTGACAGGAATATTTAACCTATAGGGTTGTCATAAAGCTTGAATTTTGTAAGAAACCTATTGTAAATTACAGAGTGATTTTATTATGGACAGATCAAGAGGAAAATGGTTTAGTTATAAAGTCATGACTGACTTATTACTTAAACATACAAAATGAAATACACAAAAGCTTGTCCTCTTCCCAGGTGTTATCTTGGGGCCCGTGTGCCTACACTTTTGATGCTACCATTGTGCAAAATATTTTTAGAAGCTCTTCTCTAGACTTGCCTTCAAAGCCTACAGCACATTGTTTTAAATGTCTTCACTGGTGGCAGATCTTGCCCTTTGTGAGTAGATTTCATTTTCAGGATTGGCCAAAAGTCATTTCTTCAGAGCCAAGTCCAGTAAATAAATGGCTTATCAACTAGGGTTGTGTTTTATCAGAAGTTTTATGTGACTATAAGTAAAACTGGTTTTCTTATTTGACTTATAAACTGCCTCTACCCTGGTTTTAAAATGCAGTTCTAGAATATTTTATTCAGTGGCCACATCCCTGGGGACTATAGACTGAATGTCTGTGTTCTCTCATCCCCCCACCAATTCATATGTTGAAATTCTAACCCCCAGGGTGATGGTATTAGGAAGTGGGGCCTTTGAGAAGTGATTAGATCATGAGGGCTGACCCCTCATGAATAGGATTAGTTCCCTTTTAAAAGAGACCCCAAAGAACTGCCTTACCCTTTCCACCGTGTGAGGACAAAAGAAGACAGCCATCTATGAACTGGAAAGCAGCCTTTCACCAAAGGTGCATCTGCTCACATCTTGATCTTAGACATCTCAGCTTGCAGAGCTATGAGAAATACATTTCTACGGTGTGTGTGTGTTTGAACTGGAGTCTCACTCTGTCGCCCAGGCTGGAGTGCAATGGCTCAATCTTGGCTCACTACAACCTCTGCCTCCCGAGTTCAAGCAATTCTCCTGCCTCAGCCTCCCGAG